GAGATGTGACGTCTTACTGTACAATATTAATTACATTAGAAAGTAATTTTATGAGTTTCCTGAAACTGTATCTTTAAAAAAAAAAAATTGAAAAACTGCCTATTTAATGGTTAGTGACTTTGTATTACTTTCTTTAAAATAAGCACTGAATTTTGATTACAAAAACGAAAAGCTTTACTTTCAATTCACATGAGTGTTCAACAAATACTGTGCAATGAATTCTTCTATAGTTCCATTTGGCCCGTAATGGTTTGAAAAGGCTAGGTTGACTGTCAGGTCTGTCGAGAATACATCCCCTGCACTGTAACTATCAAAATAAATGACACAACATATACCCTCCTCTGATATCATAAGCAATTTAAATCTTCCCTGAGGGAAAGAATTTGTATACAATGCTATCAACATGCTTTCTTCTCTTTTAGTGACACCAGAACGTATGAAGAGTGAGAATACAGATGTTTAATGACAGTGAATTCAGTACTCCTTCTTTATTCAGTAATTAAGATTTAGTTTATTTCCTAGAACCATTTTGAAATTCAAGCATTAAACAATGTTAAATGGTGTTCATGTTAATGGTTTATACTATTTATAATTTTAAAATTTTATATTAACAGGATTTGTGAATTTCAAATAGAACAGGACATTTTAATTATACTATCAAATCTAAAAATCATTTAATAGCCTTAAAAAAGAAAACCCCAGTTTCCAGAAATCACTAACTATATTACATAGTCTTAGAAACACAGATGTACACATTAATAAAATGAATACTATTTCATATAAATGAAATGTACTAAACTCCCCTAACATAATGTATGCTTAAAAATACTCCTGAAGGGGATAATACATAAATAAATACATACAGAAACAGCTGCCACAATCTTACTATTTTTAATTCAATAAACTATAGTGACACATACGGCTTTCAATGTGCTGTTTTACTCATATGCTTTCTACGTTAGAGAAAAGCAAATATAAATGAGTTCTTAGCAACCATTAGGAAAGATTGACAAAAAATGCAGTGTTAATGACATCTTTCAGCTTTTAAAAGCAAGAGAAAGATGCAAGAAAAGCAAAAATTACATAGTAATTGGAAACAACGCATAAATTGGTCTTTCAATCTAAGTCATGTTTACTGAAAAAATGGAGCTTTTTACATCAACACATTTAAACAGAAATTTGCTTTTGAAATAAAATCTTTGTTTAAAAGGTACAGAAGGTCTTTATGTCCACCCCAAGAGCTAAATATAGTGAATGCTATGTGAACAATTACCTGAAAAAAACCTAAACCTGTTAAAAGAATTAATTTACTGCACACCAGTCAGCACTAATCCTACATGTACAGTAATGGTCTCTTAAGTGATGGGGGAAAGAAAGAATAAAACTGTTTCCTGGTCCAAAACCCTTCAATATTCAACAACAAAATGGAATGATGATTTGGTTTGTAAATGAATAAAGTAGTGAAATGTCCCCTAAACAAATTCTGATAAGGGAGTCAACCTGCAAAGAAACGCATTTACTGTATGCTAGGACAGGAAAAAAGCCATCACTGTAATGGTTGTACAGAAACTGTGTCCTGCTGTTGGGTTTATATTCACAGAAGAAAGGTTTTAAAGGTTAAGTTCGGGTCATACAACAAATGAAATTGTAACAAGCCAGCTGACATTGTATAATGTCTTCTTCCACTCAATCAATAGGCTACTGTTAGTCCTATTACCATAGAGATGGCTTCTCCTTTTTGAAGGGTGTCTATTGTTTGACAAAACAGATTTGCCACTTGAACTAGGTTATTCCCAAAAGACGTGTGTGTACCTTGTCAATTATTTGTATTCAAAATAATGAAGTATTTTCATATTAAAATTATGTTAAGAGATAATATTGTTAGATCCCTTTTCTGAAAGAAAGCAACTTTTCCAAAGCACATACTATATTATTAAAACCACTCAAACACCTAATTTACTCATATTAAGAGTTTGGATTTAAAGCACATGTCAGCAAGTATAAAATATTATCATTAGCCACGTATATTAAACGAAAAGTGTTACAGGCTAGTGTGCTAATCTAAACCCATTATAATCAAGCATAATAATAAAAGCTATTTTTAAATAGGTAAATACTGTCCAGAGCTATCTGGATTCTGTAAATTTTTTTTAAAGATTTTTATGTATGATTTTTACAGTGGTTCTCATGTGGAATGGCATCAACAATTAATATGTTGAAAAACAGAAAAAAGTTTTAGAAAATGAATCCCTTACTTGCACGAAGGACTATTTAGAGCTACGTAATATTTAAATATATGCATATGTTACATAAATGATCTAAAATACAGACTATCAAAATAAATAGTTTTCTTTAAATGTTTTTGTTCTAAAGTATCTTGTGAAAATTAATAATGACTAATTCAATACAGAACAAGGAAGTTCCTGTCCAATCCAGATATTTAAAAACAAAAAACATTTTCTCAGTGGAAATACTGACAGATTCTTAATTACAAAAGACTCAAAAAAACCCACAAGTCTAATAAAAATTATTCGAACCATTGAGAAACAGAAAAATATTCATGGTGTTAATGAATCTAAGCAAAGACATTATTTTAATTACTTCATACTTAAAGATTTGGCTATTACTGTAAACCTGTAAGACTATAATAACAACAAATTTAATAATATAAAAATTCTAGAAAAGAGCAACAGTTATAATACCTGAATCTGAAAGTTTTTTCACAGATTAAAAGTAAACTTCAGAGTTATAGTAATACTGTTATCTTTCTATAAATAATTAAAAGAGAATTTAGAATTTAGCTAAAGGGCAGTATTATGACTAACACAAATAAAAATATTAGTCTTCAAAAATAACATCTGAAATTGTGCCTATTCAAGTTATATTTACATATAGAAACCATTTGTTTTGTAAGACGTGCAAAAGCTTTTATAAGTGTTTTAATTTGGTTTTTCCTTTTGCAGAAAGCATAATTTGTATTTTTCACTCTAATCCTCTTAAGTATAGGATACACTGAGTTAAGAATGAAGGTGACAGAGACAGAAACATCAAAGACAAATGAGTTACCAACATTCTAAACTAATGAGCAGTGTTTTAAAAGCAGGGTAGCCTTCCAAACTAAGAAAGCTTTCTATCAGTGAAATATTTGAGATCTAATTTGCCTGCCTTCCCTACAGCAATAATGGAGTTGAGTGAAACCTTACTAAAAACCACATCCCAAATTGATTTCCTTAGTTAATAGCCTTATTTCAAAAAGTATACAACATGTTCATATTTAGAATACAACATAATTAGATATTAGCCCTGAACCTGACAGGCAGCTGCCCATCAGCAATACTGTGAGTAATTAAATGATATTTACCATTTACCAAAAGATGAACCTCACATTGTTGAGGTAAACTGGCCCATCTGCATCTTGGTAAAATGACAAACCTTATTAGTTCTGCCTAACCAGAGAACTGTATTAATGAACTGGTGATACCTTCGCTCCATTGTACAAAACAGAACCAAGTGTGTAATCATATGAGGGGTCAAAGGCATATAAAATTATTATAAATTAAGAAAGTGAAATCACGTGTTAGGGAAACCAAGCAAAAGACTTTTTTTTTTTAATGTATGTACTTGAGCCATAAGAAAGCTACCATCTCCAGCTGCTCAAAATTAATTTTAACTAATCAACTACTTTACCTGAAAACGGTGAAAAAAAGTAACGATGCAGCTACTGCTCCAAATAAGCCACAGAGAAGATTGACGCGGTAGGCAATTGAACCAAAAGGAAACAGTGTAATTGCCAGTTTAGCCACCAGCGTGAACAAAGGATAGCCAGGAGGATGGGCAACCTATGGAAAAATTAGCAACAGTTAGAAGGTTTTCATCCAGGAAAGGAAGAGTCACACAGACTTTAAGTGAAAAGTAGCCCTTTTCTCAGGCAACTCTGAAGATCATGCACCAATGACTAAACGTATGAATAGTGGTTTTCTATTGTAATCCTCTTGTGGCAATACAAATAAATATTTTCTTTAGTGGATTTGGCAGTGTGTATCACATGGTGTGCCACCCTGAGAAAGGGTGACATATTTCATTGTTAGTTCTTAAGCAGTTTGTTCTCTGGGTTCACAGTACATTAGGGTCATTTAAAAGGCTATTGAAAAAAAAGCAGGTTCTGAAATACCATATTGGTTAGAAAGTTGAAAGACCACACTGCTATCGGATTACCACCACGCTGACAGTCCTAAGGTCTTGCCTAAAGGGATCATGCACCATAATAAAGTTTATTAAATAATAAACTTATTAAAACTGTTAACCCGATTTATTTTATTCTCCACAGCTTATACAAAATTTGGGGTGATAATAAGGCAGCTACTGTATATACAGTAAAGGCTTTGCTTTATAATTTAGTTTAATTGGATTTAAAACTTCAAGTAAATTGTCACGTACTGTACTTATAAGTTACTAAAAACCAGGGTTTGAAAATAAATTAATCTACTTTACTCCATGCTTAATTAAACTTTCTTAATTCCTAAAACTGTTAATGAGAGCATTGATTAAACAATAAAACTAATACTTACTCCAAGCTCATATGCAGCTGTGATCAGTTCCCCTGTGAAAAAATAATGTAAAACCAATAATTACTATTAGAGAATGACACTCCTCCAAAGTTTCCAAAATCCAAATGCTTGCATTGGGGTTTTGCATTAATTTGACTGGATAAAACTGTAAATCTGTAGAGATTTAGCAGCATGAAATAGTCTAAGAATATTTTCTCCCTTAGGTCTTACTGAACAAACTATCTTTGATAGTCTTTACCAACTGGTCACTGGAAATACAGGTAAATTCTGGTTTTTAAAAATGCTCATTTTTCCCTCTCGAATGTTGTATCCACATGCAAATATACAACTACTGTTGGGGCATTAGAGTGTAATATGCTTTATTATCCCTGAAGAAATTAGCATGAAAGTTTATAAAGATGCAACCTTACGATAACATAAAATGTGCAGACATCTGAGGTTTGGACGCTCCATAAAATATGCCATACTACCCTAAAACTGGCATTTGGATATCTTCTCTGCATTAATTGCATTGGATATCTTTCGTCGATTTCCGACTGTTTATTAACTCCAGGTTATTTTGGTAAGGTCTACTATAAGACATATTTTTCAAATAATATTCTTTTTACATAGTCCTTTATAGTAAAGTGACTATATCTAAAATTATGATGCAGTAATTTAATGCCTATTTGTTAATATTTTAAGCATTCAGAGCTCAGGGACATTTTCTGATTCATCCCTATACACTGTAACACAGTACAATGTAAGGAATCAATATCGATGAATGACTCATGAAAAGTTACTAGTACCTATTAGGAAATGTACTACTGTCTGTTCCCTATCCTTTCATAGATGCCAATACTCTACTTTTAATTTCTGTCCCAGCTACAATTTAGACCTTTCTTCTCTGGCCTGGACTATGGCAACAGACTTGACTAATCTTCTATTTCATCTTCATACTGAAATCGCTTATAATTAACACCTGCCGTCCCCCTCCCCAAACACATACACACACACACACACACACACACACACACAAATAAAAAGCTGGATTGCATCCCTAGTCTACAATTTCTCAACGGTTGCTCTCTGCTTTCTGAATGAAGTTCAGATTCCTCAGCATGACACTCAAGCCTTCTACGCTTTCAAGGTCCTTTTTCTAGGCTTATACCCGTGAAACATACGTTCCCTCCCGTCAAATCTGATTATCCACTGTTTCTCTGGAGCGGCCCTTTTTCGCACTTCTTCTCACTCATTTTCTCACCCTGGAGTATTTTCCCTAGCATTTTCTCCCTAAATCCTTCAAAGCCTAGTTCAATCGCCACCTTCTTGGTAACACCTTTCCTTAGACACCTGCTTCCCCAGCCTCTCCATCAGATTTAATCACTTCTTCCTCCTCCATAGAACCTGCTTGAGTCTATTTAGCACTTTAGATTGCCTTATATTCTGGTTAGTTGTTTTCGTTTCTCTCCCATTAAGTTTGAAAACATTATCCTATCCATTTCAGGATCCTGCCAAGGTATCATCCCCTCTCCCCTCTGGCCACACACCAAGAATCAATTCAAGCCATGCACACAGAGGTTAACAAAAAGACACATCACATTGTGATCCTTGCTACTAAGACATCCCTGTCTTACATCAATGACTGCATCATGGAAGTCCTATAAGGGCACCTGAAGACAGATTAAGTCAATTACTTAAGGACATTTGTTAGAGATATCCAAGAGCACCTTAGAAACCAGTAGTGCTTTTTATAACCTAAATGTTTCTTTTTAAATAGTTTATGGCCTCACAGTGTATGAAAGAGCTGTTCCCTTTGTTAAGTACTGTAAAGGATATGATTTTATAGTTTACTCCACAACGGATTCACTCTTATGTCTTTAGCTCCAAACTATTTTCATCAATTTTTTTGTTCTTGTATCTTTTTGTGACAAAGCCACCAAAAGTTCAGAATTTCAAGGTCACTATTCATTCTCCTTCATTTTAAATTCATTCAGAATTATATTTAATGTTAAGAAAAATAGCCTATTTTTCTCTAAGTTCTCCTTACCAGGGAAAGGCAGTATGTGGTTATTTGCTGGAGTTCTGCTGCCATAAAGAAAAATCTGGAATGTGACAAACTTCCATCAATTCCCATCAAATATTAAACTAAAATCGAAATAGAAAAGATACCCCCATTCGAAGCTTTTAAATTTATCTTTGATAAAGATTGAAAGGGAAATACTACTCTTACATTGATTGTGATAAAGAGGAAGTGAATAAAAAAAAAAAAAACCCTCAAAACTTCCTGAGTCCTGGCTTTCTCCCAACCCTTTACATGAAGGGTTCCTCAGAGTTGTGTCTGCCTGCATCAGAATTAATCTGCTTTTTAAAAGTGAAGATTCCTTGCCCATACTTCCAAACTCCTTAATCTAGTAAGACCCACTGACACTATGGCTCAAGTTTCCCAAGTAATTCTGAAGTACTTCCCATTTGAGAACCACAGCTCTGTTGTCTGCAAGGCAAGACCAGAGTTGTCAGCAGGTGCTTAACCTTTAGAAAAACCAGCTCCCGGGCCGGGCGCGGTGGCTCAAGCCTGTAATCCCAGCACTTTGGGAGGCCGAGGCGGGTGGATCATGAGGTCGAGAGATCGAGACCATCCTGGTCAACACGGTGAAACCCCGTCTCTACTAAAAACACAAAAAATTAGCTGGGCATGGTGGCACATGCCTGTAATCCCAGCTACTCAGGAGGCTGAGGCAGGAGAATTGCCTGAACCCAGGAGGTGGAGGTTGCAGTGAGCCGAGACCGCGCCATTGCACTCCAGCCTGGGTCACAAGAGGGAAACTCCGTCTCAAAAAAAAAAAAAAAGAAAAAGAAAAACCAGCTCCTTTTTCATCATACTTCTCAATATTAACTAGGCTAGACTGTCACACGTCACTTCTGTTAAAGACAGTATCTTTGAAATAAACTCATGTATAAAACTAATGGTGCCCGTAAAAGCACCATGAGCACCCCGCCCATAAATGAACTATGTGTCTAGTGGTACAAAGAATAATTTTGGCAAAACCACACAATGTGAGAAATTTATGGAGTAAAATGTAAGACTTATCAGGAAGAATACATGCTTTACATTGGTTTTGAGATGTGTTCTGTTTACTGATGAAAATGTAATTCATAAACATTCAAGAATAATACACTCAACATTTTTCAAATATATGATTAAGCAAATTTTCCATATTGGCATATACTTGGAAAACAGTTAATCATTCCCAAAAACGAACATAAAAGTATTAGAAGCAACCACTATTTAACATCAAACCAAATTAAAGCACCTAAAGTTTAGTAACTCAAGGTAAATATACAACTTTATTCTTTTGGGGAAAAACACAGTATTAATAAGGGGAAGGCAATCATAATTTTAAACAGATTTTCAGTATCACTACATATGTGATGGTGGATTTAGAAAAGAATTTCAGAAAATGTTCTGGCAAAGAGTAAAGGTCAAGAGGGCACATTCTAAAGTCAATGTACTTGGGTTCTTTTCCTGACTTTGGGCATAGCTTAGCCTTCGTTTTCTCACTTATAAAAGGAAAATAATAATTGCACCTCCTTTTAAGGGTAGCTGGGAGGGTTAAAACAACCTATATAAAGCACTTGGAACAATGCCTGGCACACAGTAAGTGCCCAATAAATGTAGTGATTATTACTCTCCCTCCCATCCTTGACACTCAACCAACCGTAAGTAGCTGTCACTCTTCATTTTTTAATTTTTTTATCGGTAACGGAACTATCTAACCTCTGAATAATGTTCTCCAGCATCAAAACTCTCACAATTATAAAGTTACTTCCATCATGAAATACAAATCTTGGAAACATGGTACAAAAACTCCCTACTAGACGAATGAAACACTATCCCTATTTGTGCAACAGGACCGGAAAGAAGAAAGGTAACAATTTGAAAACGGAACATCAACGATCTTCAATGTGGTAGGCAGCCCTAGAGATGATCTCCACTATCCCGAACTTCTGGTATTCTCACTTGTGTAATCCTCTCCCCATTGAATATGGGTTGGGTTTACTGACAAACATCCAGGAATAAACTAGGGAAGAGGTACATTACTTACAATATTAGGTTACAAAGTGACAGAGGTGTCCTCCATCTTTTTCTTGACAGAAGTCAGTTAAATTATGGAGACCCACAAAGCAAAGAACTGGATTGCGTTTCTCCCCAAATTTTGCCTTGAGAAGACCGCAGCCCCAGCCCACACCATGACAGCAACCCTGTTCTGAGTACCACCATCTAGCTTAAGCAGCACCCAGATTCCTGATTTACAGAACCGGGAGATGATAAATGTTTGCTGTTTAAGCTGCTCCACTTGGAGATAACTGGTCAAGCACCCAAACCTGCTTTTTCAGTCCAGAGGTTCGCCACCGGAAATTACAGCACCAGTCCGACAAAATTACTGGCCATGATATGGCATCGTTGAATCCAAATCCCAAATCGGGATCTTGTTTCTTGCTTCAAATACACAACAATTAATGTGATTTAATGGCCAATGAGTCATGCTTTTCTTTTTCATAGAAACAGCCGCACCTGGCTTCCACCTTGCTAAGAGTTCTGCAAATATCCTGCATTGCTGGCTCCTTCTCAATACTCAGGCTTCAACTAAAACATCACCTCTTCAGAGGCCTTTCCTGAACAGCCCTTCGGAAGGACCCACTCCTTACCCCACTCTCAATCACATGTCCCGCCTACTGTCTCCGTAACTTATCACCAGTTAATACGCTGTTGATTCATTGACTTGTGTACCGTCTAACCGCACTGGTAGGCTCGCAGTATCTGTTCACCACTACTGCTCCTTCGTCTGAAACATCATCAGGACTCTGTGAGTAGTATTTGTGGACTCAAAAACAATGCAAAGGAAATACTCAGGACCAGGAAAAAAAGACAGGGGATAGTGGAGAGGTCGTTAAACCCCACCTCGAAAGCCTGAGAACTAAAGAAACGAGAACGACAAGGATGGAAACAGAAGCGGGCTCGGGAACACACAACAACACTGGGCTGTGCACAGGCGGGCGGACGGAGGCCCAGAGCTGACCAGAGCAACGCTAAGAGCGGAGGCCAGACGCGGCCCCTGCCCGTTCCGGGACCAGAGCAGAGGGGCAGGAGGGGTCACCCTGCTAGTACTTTACCCGAGTCTCCCCCCGGCACCGAGCGGGGCAGCGTGAGCGTGAACACGGCGGCCACGGCGGCGAACACGGCCAAGCCGCCGCAGAGGCCCCCGGAGCGCCGCGGCCCCACTCGGACTGCCCGCTCCTGGACCTGACCCCTGCCGTCGCCATGGGGACTCATGGGCCAGTGGCGACCGAGGGAGGAGAACGCCGCCGACCCAAGGACTCGGTGCCACACGAAGCTCAGCAGCCGAGAGGCAACTTCAGCCTGTCCGGTGGCCACGGCGGCTTCCGGGTCGAGCCTCCGCGGGTCGGACCGCACCTTTCTCCGCCTGAGCGCGGGGAGGAGAAAATGCCAGGTCGCGCTTGAGCGAGGTCCTGGGAGCTTTCTCGCAGTGCACCACGCATTGGCGTTCAACTACTTAGAATGCGCTTTAAGGTCCCTAATTACCAGGGTGAGCGCTCCGTTTAAAAAGCAAGCCTGGCCACAGGCCTACCGTCTCCATGGCTGTTCCCCCCTTTCATACTGACTTGGTTGGGTCTGACAGAGACCAAAGCAGCTTGGAAAATCCGAGCGAGGAAGGGCTGCTCCTGCCCCCTACGGTGCGGGGTGGAACTGCACAAAAGGGATCAGTCAGGAGCCCCTACCTGTGCTTAACCCAAAGGATGGTATATTTACTGTATGTGCAAAGTAAGCCAATAAATACATGAACCGCAATTATGTATTTATTACGATTTACTACGTTACTATGATTAATTACAATAAGTCTGTGTGCTACTTATTACTGAGTAATTTTTAGAGATTAGAATATGCTAGTGTGTCAATTTTGTTTTTCTTCCATAGCATGATGAAAACTCTGTAGATGAGTTGGGAAATTTGAGTTCCTGTATTCATGCAAATAACTCATACTTTGATAAGGGTGTCTCCTAGTTTAATGAGCAGGGGTGTTTTCCTGGAGCTTTCAACACAACAAAGTGGAAACGAAATGGAATCACCATACTCTACAATGAGCTGTAATGCAAAAAAGAATCAGATCCTATGAACACAGAACAATCACATAACGGCACAGCTAATACGTTTTTAAAGCTTATATTTTACGTTATTAAAGCAGTTACTCTGGAGTGGGATGGGAGGAGGGCAGCCCCCATAGAATGTATCTCAAAAACACACACTGAAAACCAGTGACAATCTCAAAAGTTACATGCAATTTGATAAGGACACAGTGACGAAATCATAGAGTAACAAATACCTACCATGACAGTCATGGGGCCAGCACACCTTAGTCTTTTCCAGGTACTTAGATAATTTCCAGTCTTTTCCCGGCACTTTGTCAGCTATACTGTGAGTTCCCGGAGGACAGGGGCTGAGCAGTAGAGTGCTTCTAAAACGGCTTCCCAGGTATCCCTGCCTCCTCACTCACTTCCTGTACAATCTGCACCCCTTACGTGAGGAGCTTAACTTAAAGATTCGCTTCTATCGACAGAATAAGGCAAAAGTGATGGATGTTGGAGACAGATCCAAGATGGCTGATCACTGGCAGCTCGGGATTGTAGGTCCAGGTGAAAGCGCCGAGAACGAGAGGACGCCACACTTTCAGACGAATTTTTGTTACTGACGGACCAGGAGATTCCCAGCGGAGGAGCCCCACGGGTTTTGCGGCGCCTCGGAGTGGCAGTTCTTGGTGCAGAGTAAACGGGACTAGGTCCCCTTTCGGTCGTTTGGAGCTCCGGGCAGGCAGAGTCGGCGTATTCAGCTGATTGAAGGACGGACTCAAGATGGAAGCGAGATCGGAGATTCCCAGGCAGAAAAGCACCAGGAATCTTAATGCTGCTGTTTTGGCTGGTGCAGTGGGTTGTTCAGATTCCAGTGCTGGGAATCAACAAGTTGGACATCCACTCAGAAACCTAATTAGAAAGTTGGCAATTATAAAGACCACAGATGGATAAATTTATAATGAAGGGAAGAAACCAGACTAAAAAGGCTGAGAATACCCAAGATCAGAACGCCTCTCCCTCTACAGGGCACACAGTTCCTCATCAGCAACAGAATAAGACCTGATGGAGAACGAGTGTGTTCCATTAACAGAAGTAGGCTTCAAAAGGTGGATGATAAGAAACTTCTGTGAGTTAAAAGAACTTGTTCTAACCCAATGCAAAGAAACTAAGAACTTTGAAAAAAGATTTGACGAAATGCTAATGAGAATAGACAACTTAGAGAGGAATATAAATGAATTAATGGAGCTGAAAAACACAACACGAGAACTTTGTGAACTATGCACAAGCTTTAACAGCAGAATTGACCAAGCAGAAGAAAGGATATCAGAGGTCGAAGACCAACTCAATGAAATTAAACAAGGAGACAAGATTAGAGAAAAAAGAATAAAAAGGAATGAGCAAAGTCTCCAAGAAATATGGGACTATGTGAAAAGACCTAATCTACGTTTGATAGGTGTACCTGAATGTGACGAAGAGAATGAATCCAAGCTGGAAAATACTCTTCAGGATATTATTCAGGAAAACTTTCCCAACCTAGTAAGGCAGGATAATATTCAACTCCAGGTAATACAGAGAACACCACAAAGATATTCCTCAAGAAGACCAACCTCAAGGCACATAATCGCCAGATTCACCAGGGTTGAAATGAAGGAGAAAATACTAAGGGCAGCTAGAGAGAAAGGTCAGGTTACCCACAAAGGGAAGCCTATCAGACTCATAGCAGATCTCTCAGCAGAAACCCTACAAGCCAGAAGAGAGTGGGGGCTAATATTCAACATCCTTAAAGAAAAGAACTTTCAACCCAGAATTTCACATCCAGCCAAACTAAGCTTCATAAGTGAAGGAAAAAGAAAGTTTTTTGTGAACAAGCAAGCACTCAGAGATTTCATCACCACCAGGCCTGCTTTACAAGAGTTTCTGAAAGAACCACTACACATAGAGAGGAACAACCAGTATCGGCCTTTCCAAAAATATACCAAAAAGTAAAGAGCATCAACATAATGAAGAATTTACATCAACTAATGGACAAAACAGCCAGCTAACAACAAATGGCCTAAATTTAAATCGACGAAATCCCCCAATCAAAAGACACACCCAAAACCCATCGGTATGCTGCATCCAGACCCATCTCACACGCAAGGAAATATAAAGACTCAAAACAAAGGGATAGAGAAAGATTTACCAAACAAATGGAGAGCAAAAATAAATAAATAAGTAAAAAATAGGAGTTGCAATTCTCGCCTCTGATAAAATAGACTTTAAAGCAACAAAGATCAAAAGAGGCAAAGAAGGACATTACATAATGGTAAAAGGATCAATGCAACAAGAAGAGCTAACGATCCTAAATATATACACACCCAAGTCAGGAACAACCAGACACATAAGACTTATAAAAGAGACTTAGACTCCCACACGATAATAGTGGGAGACTTCAACATCAATATTAGACAGATCAACGAGACAGAGAATTAACAAGGATATCCAGGACTTGGAAGTTAGATCTGGAACAAGTGAACTTAATAAACATTTATAGAACTCTCCACTTTAAATACACAAAATAGACACTCTTATCAGTACCACATCACACGTACTCACAGGTTTAAATGAAATATTGGTTGGCTGCTTGTTTGTTATTTTCTTCCCTCATTTTTTTTTTTTGTTTCCATTATTAAGCATAAAAGAGTTTTTCAATACCCATCTTTAGACTGCATTCTAGCCCGGGCAATAACACTTCTGGTCTCTCTCCCTCTTCCTCTTCCTCTTTCTTCCTCTCCTTCATTCTTTTTTTTTTTTTTCCTTTCTTTCTCTCTCTTTCTTTTTTTTTCTTTTTATAAAAGAAAAAAAAGTGATGGATGTTACTTTCAAGATTAGGTTATAAAAGACTAACTTTCATCTTGCTGGCACTCCCTCTTGTCCACTTACTTGTTCTCTCTGATGAAGCCACCGACCATGGTGTCAGCTGCCCTGTGAAAAGGTCCACGTGGCAAGAAGCTGAAAGCTGCCTCTAGCCAACAGCTGGCAAGAAACTGAGGCTTGCTACCTTAGAGGAACTGCATCCAGGCAGCACCGTGTGAGTGGGTGTGGGTCTCTCCCCAACATGAGCCTTGAGTTAATTAGAACTCCTGTCAAGATGTTGATTCCACCCTGTGAATGACCCTAAAGCCGAGAACCTAACTACACCTCATTCAGACTGCTGTCCTCTAGAAACTGCGAGATAATAAGTTTTAAGTGGTTTTAAGTTGATAAATGCGGGGAAATTTGTTAGTGATCAGCACTAGATAACTAAGATAGGCTGTCTCTTATTTCTTCGCTGAAAGAACATATTCAGAAATGCTGAAATGCATTTTATGCATTTCCTCTTTTGCTCATGAGTTTTAGTTTAAAATGTTTTATTTTGAAGGGGAATACTTCTTTGTCTATGTTTGGGAGATAGAGCTCAGTGCTGGAAATACAAATTTGGGAGTTGTTCATATAAAGATGAGATAAATGATTTACTTGATAAAGGGATAGTGTAGAGAGAACAAGGTTGAGGTCTAACATCAGACCATATTCTCATTTAGGGAGTGGCTGGAGAAGAGGAGAGAACAGTGGAAGAGAACGAGGCGTCACTGGAAACTAAAAAAGCAAAGTCAATGAAGTACACGTGGTCAGGATGTTCACAGAGAGGCAAAGGGCAATGAAGAGAGGCACATCTAGATTTTATGACGCCCAAATGTATAAAACTTGGAGAATTGTCTGTAAGCAAACTAACGTAAAACTGCAGATACAGAATTAAGCACAAGATACTGGAAAATGCCTGGGCTAGAGAGAAACTGGGGAAACCTAAGCTTCATTAGCTTCACGGTTGTTTTCCTTTGAAGATTAAGAACTGCCAGTTCTCCGTTTGTGTCTGATTCTACCTCTCAGTAAGCATCTGACTATTTCCTCCCCCGGAAGTATGTTCTTTTCTGTCTTCAATGACAGCACCCTCTTTGGTTTTTATTTTATCAGCGGCCCCCCTGCCCTGGCTCTGCTTCTGTCAGTCGTCCAAATGCCGGCATGCTCCTGGGCTGCTCTACACTTTCCTCTCTTTCTATCTTCTTTATGAAGATGATAATATTGAAGCTTTAAAAGGCAATTATGGGCTGGGTGTGGTGGCTCACGCCTGTAATTCCAGCACTTTGGGAGGCCAAGGCGGGTGGATTATTTGAGGTCAGGAGTTCAAGACCAGCCTGGCCAACATGCTGAGACTCTGTCTCTACTGAAAATACAAAAATTGGCTGGGTGTTGTGGTGGAGGCCTGTAATCCCAGCTACTGGGGAGG